AGGAAGTTTTTGATTCACATGAGGAAAGTCATTCCGATATTTCTCAGATATGTAAGATTTGGGATTTTGTAGATGGAGCGTCGTCCCCCTGAGCTTAGGAAAATGTCCGCCGTGCCTCAGATCCAAATTTACTTAAAGAGACACAAAACTCCGGAATTAAAGATACAAAATCCCTCCCAGTCCCCAAGACTAGATGCGGGTTCACTTTCTGAATCCGGTTTGTTGTCTTCCTGGTGAAAGTCTCCGATTCCTTTTTTGCAGCGATATCACAGACAAGGTGATGAGAAATTTCCAGCACGCTGGATGTTTCCTGTGGCCGATGCTCTCATGGTTTGGTGCAGCAGCGACTTCCAACGCTGCGCTGTGATTGGCTGACTTTGGTCATGTGATAGGCAGGCTGGGGACGATGACACGTTTTTGGTGGAGCAGTCCGGGGGCATTGATGGAGCCATGAAGGTTTGTCTTTCCTTCTTCTGGATCTCCAGCGTTAGAAGGAAGTTCAGGCGTGTGATGGGGGAATTAGACGGGCTGATCAATCACGTGACGTGTTCTGGCGGCTGACCTGTTAGTCTATTTATTGTAAGGAGAAGCAGGGCAGCTTCCATCTGAGGTTTCTCACACAGGTGGCATGTTTTGCGTTCCTCCCGGTCTGATCGATGGGTTCTGGGTGGAAATATCTCTGATGATCCGGAGACACGCGGGGCCAGGAACCGCCACGGAATTCCACCGCCGTTCACCCCGACGCTGCATATATGTACAAAGATCACCGGCCGCTTAACCCTCGCACTGCTGAGAGCGCATCGTGGTGCCATTCATTGTGAACTGCATCCCAATGCACGCCATCCATACTACATATACACTATATACATGCTACACACACACATACATACTACATATACACTATATACATGCTACACACACACATACATACTACATATACACTATATACATGCTACACACACACACATACATACTACATATACACTATATACATGCTACACACACACATACATACTACATATACACTATATACATGCTACACACACACA